TTCCAGCACATCAACACTCCCCCAGCTTGGGGTCACCTGGAATGTGCCAATAACAACCCCCTCCCAGCCACTCCCTGCAGACACGGGGATCCCGAGGGTGGACATGGGGATCCCGAGGGATCACACAGGATCCGGGGCCGGCTCTCACCTGGCGAATCCCTGGGGCAGCTCTCCGAGCCCGTACAGGGGGTACAGGTAGGGGCTCTTCCCGTACCGGGCCAGGGACTCGCTGTACAGTTTGATCCTGTTGATGGTCTCCTGGCAGGGCTGGTCCAAGTAGCTGTGGAGCACAGGGACATCCCTCAGGATGCTTCCCAAGCCAGCGCTTCCAGCGGGATACACCCCCGGAGCGCTTCCCTCCCCCGGGGGGTTTCCTTCCCCACCCTCCGGCTGCTGCTCCCGGGAGTTCCCTTTGGGAGCTGCTGGGGGTCACGGGTTTTATCGGGACGGAGATGATTCGTTCACCCCGGGAACGCTCAAAGGTTCAACGGCTGCCCCAAACCCCAGGGCTGGGACTGGAATCCCAGGATTTGGGGTGGGAGTGACTCTGATCCCAAGATTCGGGGTGGGAGTGACTCCGATCCTGGGATTCGGGGTGGAAGTGATTCCGAGCCCAGGATTTGGGGTGGAAGAGACTCCGGTCCCAGGATTCGGGGTGGGAGTGACTCTGATCTCGGGATTTGGGGTGGGAGTGACTCCGATCCCAGGTTTTGGGACAAGAGTGACTCCCATCCCAAGATTCAGGGTGGGAGTGACTCCAGTTCCAGAATTCAGGGCGGGAGTGACTCCGATGCTGAGATTTGGGGCAGGAGTGACTCCCATCCCGGGATTCTGGGTGGGAGTGAATCTGATCCCGAGATTCAAGGCAGGAGTGACTCCAATCTCAGGATTCGGGGCGGGAGTGACTCCAATCCCGGGATTCGGGGCAGGAGTGACTCTGATCCCGGGATTTGGGGAGGGAGTGACTCTGATCCCGGGATTTGGGGAGGAGTGACTCTGATGCTGGGATCTGGGCAGGAGTGACTCCAATCCCGGGATTCGGGGCAGGAGTGACTCTGATCCCAAGATTCAGGGTGGGAGTGACTCCGATGCTGGGATCTGGGTGGGAGTGACTCTGATCCTGGGATTCGGGGCAGGAGTGACTCCGATCCTGGGATTTGGGGTGGAAGTAACTCCAATCCCGGGATTCGGAGCAGGAGTGACTCTGATCCCAGGATTCAGGGCAGGAGTGACTCCGATCCCAGGATTCGGGGCAGGAGTGACTCTGCCACCAGGATTCGGGGCGGGAGTGACTCCAATCCCAGAATTCGGGGCAGGAGTGACTCCGATCCCGGGATTCGGGGCAGGAGTGACTCCGATCCCGGGATTCGGGGAGGGAGTGACTCCGATGCTGGGATCTGGGCAGGAGTGACTCGGATCCCAGGATTCGGGGCAGGAGTGACTCC